AATTTATTCTTGGTTTAATATTATAAATTTTATAAAGATAATATTTAAGTATTCTGTTAGGATTCAATGATTATCCTAATTATATTTTAGATTCTTTATATTTAAAATGAGATATTTATCATGTATTTGATTATGTTTATCTGCAGTTAGTTACACGAATTCAGATATGAAGCTTTAATAAGTTGTACTTACGCATAATCTATTTGCAATCTTTAGTTTTAAGTAATATGCATTAATAAACAGTACTTTAAGCATAAAATGTAGTTTTTAAGAGTTTTTGTCAAACGATTTATAATATAGTATGGATATAAAGGTGTTCTTGCGTTCTCGTAAAATGTAGGTGTTCTTGTTTGAACCTCCACCTATATATATATACACACACACACACACATATATATAAGAGTGTTCTCGCGTTCTCGTAAAATGGAGGTGTTTTCGTTTGAACCTCCATCTATATATATATATACTATATTATAAAACATTTGACAAAAACTCTTAAAAACGATTTTTTATGCATGAAATACTGTTTATTGATGCACATTACTTAAAATTTAAGATTGCAAGTAAATTGTGCATAAGTACAACTTATTAAAGCTTCATATTTGAACTCGTCTAACTAACTGCGGATAAAGATAATAAAATATTGGATAAACATCTCATTTTAAATATAAAAAATCTAATTAGGATAATCATTGATAACTAACAGAATACTTAGTTATTATCTTTATAAAAAATTATATTATTAAACCTACATTAAATTTCTTTGTTACTAAAGCTAAATTAAATTATAATTAAAAAATTTAATCAAAGAAATTACACTAAAACACAAGAACTTTTAAAAAGATTAATATATTACTGATATCGATATTTTTTCTCAAAATTTTATGATATTTTTAAATTTATATTTTATTGAAAAATAAAAACATTATCACTTTCTCAAAACCACATAAAATCAATGCTTACTTAAAATTCAAGATTATAAGTAAATTATGCAAAAATACAACTTATTAAAGCTCGATGTTTGAATTCGTATAACTAATTGCGTATAAACATAATCAAATAGAGGATAAACATCTTATTTTAAAATATAAAAAAT